TATAAGCAACTGGTACAAGTAACTGGAACAAGTAGCTGATACAAGCAACTGGTATAAGCAACTGCTACAAACAACTGCTGCAAGCAATTGGTATAAGCAACTGGTGTAAGCAACTGGTACAAGCAACTGGTAAAAGTAATGTAACTTAATGCTGAGGTGTGTTTGGTCAATGTTCGGTCAATGTTTGGTCAATATTTGGTCAATGTTTGGTCAATGTTGGGTCAATATTGGGTCAATGTTTGTTCAATGTTTTGTAGGTGTTTGGTCAATGTTTGGTCAATGTTTGGTCAATGTTTGGTTAATGTTTGGTCAATGTTTGTTCAATGTTTGGTCAATGTTTTTTCAGTGTTTGGTCAATGTTGGGACACTGTTTGGTCAATGTTTCGTAAATGTTGCATCAATTTTTGGTCAATGTTTGGTAAATGTTGGGTAAATGTTTGGTCAAAGTTTGATCAGTGTTAGGTCAATGTTTGGTCAATGTTTGGTCAATGTTGGGTCAATGTTTGTTCAATGTTGGGTCAATGTTTGGTCATGTTTGGACAATGTTTGGTCAATGTTTGATCAATGTTTTGGTCAGTGTTTGGTCAATGTTTTGCCAATGTTTGGTTAATGTTGGGTCAATGTTGGGTCAATGGTTGGTCAATGTTTGGTCAATATTTGGTAAATGTTTGTAATGTTTATTCAATGTTAGGCCAATGTGGGTCAATGTTTGGCAATGTTTGGTCATTTTTTGGTCAATTTTGGTCAATGTTTGCAATGTTGGCATTTTGGTCAATTTTTTTGTCAATTTTGTAAAATGTTGGGTAAATGTTTGTCAATTTGGGTCAATGTTTGGTAATGTTGGGTAATGTTGTATGAATTTGGTAATGTTAGTCAAATGTTTGGTCAATGTTAGGTCAATTTTTTTGTCAATGTTTGTCAATGTTGGTCAATGTTGGTTAAAGTTTGGGTAAATGTTTGGCATTTTTGAAAAAATTTGGTAAATTTTTTGGTAAATGTTTGGTAATGTTGGCAATGTTTGGACATTTTGGGGCAATGTTTGGTCAATGTTGGCCAATGTTGGTCATTTTTTGTCAAGTTGTCAATTTTGGTCATTTTGGGGTCATTTTTGGTCAATTTTTGGCAATGTTTTGGTCAATGTTTGGTCAATTTTGGTCAATGTTGGTCAATGTTAGGTCAATGTTTGGTCAATGCTTGGTCAATGTTTGAACTATGTTTGGTCAATGTTTGGTCAATGTTAGGTCAATGTTAGGTCAATGTTTGGTCAATGTTTAGTAAATGTTTGGTCATTGTTGGGTCGATGTTAGGTCAATGTTTGGTCAATGTTTGGTCAATGTTGGGTCAATGTTGGGTCAATGTTTGGTCAATGTTTGGTTAATGCTGGGTCAATGTTTGGTCAATGTTTGATCAATGTTTGGTCAATATTTGCTCAATGTTTTGTCATTTTTGGGTCAATGTTGGGTCAATGTTTGGTCAATATTGGGTCAATGTTTGGTCAATATTGGATCAATGTTTAGTCAATGTTAGGTCAATGTTTGGTCAATTTTTTTGGCCAATATTGGGTGAATGTTGGGGTCAATGTTTGGTAAATGTTTTGTCTTGTTTGGTCAATTTTTGGAAAAGTTGGTCAATTTTTGGTCAATTTTGGTCAATGTTTGGTCAAATGGGGGGTCAATGTTGGTCAATGTTGGGTAAAATGTTGGCAGTGTTTGGTAAAATTTTTGGGTCAATGTTTGGTCAATGTTCCGTAAATGTTTGGTCAATGTTTGGCAATTTAGGTAAATTTTTTGGTCAAGTTTGGTCAATTTGGGTCAAGTTTGGAAATATTTGGTCAATTTTTGGTAAATTTTTGGGTCATGTTTTGTCAATGTTTGGGACATTGTTTGGTAATGTTTGGTCTTGTTGGGAAATTTTTTTGGACTTTGTTTGGTAATGTTTTGGTCTTGTTGGGTCAATGTTTGGTCAATGTTGGTCATTTTTGGGTAAATTTTGGGGTCAATTTTGGGGTAAATTTTGGGTCAATTTTGGTAATGTTTTGGTCAATGTTTGGTCAATGTTGGGGGTAAATGTTGGGTCGATGTTAGACAATATATGTAAATCAAGAAAGTGTTGCACTTGTGTCTAATTATCAATCAGAAAATTCTTTATGGTTTAAAGTTAGAATTAAAGACAATAGTAAACTTCACACCAGCTGAGGGAATGTTGCATCTAAAGAGTACCAAGCAGATGAAGTTGCTCCAGCAACACTAGACAAGAACACCAAAGTGTTGCATCTAAAGAGTACCAAGCAGATGAAGTTGCTCCAGAACACTAACAAGAACCCCAAAGTGTTGCACTAAAGATCCCAAAGCAATAAATTTGCTCCACAACATAGACAAAAACACCAAAGTGTTGCATCTAAAGAGTACCAAGCAGATGAAGTTGCTCCAGCAACACTAGACAAGAACACCAAAGTGTTGCATCTAAAGAGTACCAAGCAGATGAAGTTGCTCCAGCAACACTAGACAAGAACACCAAAGTGTTGCATCTAAAGAGTACCAAGCAGATGAAGTTGCTCCAGCAAAACAACAAAAACACCAAAGTGTTGCTCAAAAGAGTCCCAAACAGATAAAGTTGCCCCGAAAAACACTAGACAAAACACCAAAGGTTGCATCAAAGAGTCCCAAAAACAAGAAGTTGCCCCGCAACACTAGACAAAACCCCAAAAAGGTTGCATCTAAAGAGTACCAAGCAGATAAAGTTGCCCCAGCAACACTAAAAAAGAACCCCCAAAGTTTTTGCATCAAAAGAGTACCAAGCAGATGAAGTTGCTCCAGCAACACTAGACAAGAACACCAAAGTGTTGCATCTAAAGAGTACCAAACAGATGAAGTTGCCGCAACACTAGACAAAAAACCCAAAGTTTTTGCATCTAAAGAGTCCCAAAGCAGATGAATTTTGCTCCAGCAACACTAGAAAAAAACACCAAGGTTGCATCTAAAGGCCCAAGCAGATGAATTGCTCCAGAAAACACTGAAAAGAACCCCAAAGTGTTGCATCAAAAGATCCCAAAAAACAGATGAAGTTGCTCCAGCAACACTAGACAAGAACACCAAAGTGTTGCATCTAAAGAGTACCAAACAGATGAAGTTGCTCCAGCAACACTAGACGAGAACACCAAAGTGTTGCATCTAAAGAGTACCAAGCAGATGAAGTTGCTCAGAAAACACTAGACGGAAACCCAAAGTGTTGCATCAAAAGATTTTACCAAACGATGAAGTTGCTCCACAACACTAGACGAAACCCCAAAAGTGTTGCATCAAAAAGAGTCCAAGGATGAAGTTGCTCCAGAAACACTAGCGAAAACACCAAAGTTTTGCATCAAAAGAGTACCAAGCAGATGAAGTTGCTCCAGCAACACTAGACAAGAACACCAAAGTGTTGCATCTAAAGAGTACCAAGCAGATGAAGTTGCTCCAGCAACACTAGACAAGAACACCAAAGTGTTGCATCTAAAGAGTACCAAGCAGATGAAGTTGCTCCAGCAAACTAGACGGAAACCCCCAAAGTGTTGCATCTAAAGAGTACCAAGAGATGAAGTTGCCCCCAAACACTAGCAAGAACCCAAAAGTTTTGATCTAAAGGTACCAAGCAGATAAGTTGCTCAGCAACACAAAAAAGAACACCAAAGTTTGATCTAAAATACCAAGCAGATGAGTTGCTCCAGAACACTAGACAAGAACACCAAAGTGTTGCTCAAAGAGTCCCAAAGGATGAAGTTGCCCAGAACACTAAAACGAGAACCCCAAAAAGTGTTGCATCTAAAAGTCCCAAAGCGATGAAGTTGCTCCAGCAACACTAGACAAGAACCCCAAAAGTGTTGAAAAATTTAACGCGTTCAAAACAGATGAAGTTTTTCCCAAAGGGAAACCTGGAAACAAGACAAGTTCTAAAGGTCAGGTAGTACTGACAAGTTCCAACACTGACACTGGTAACACTAGATAAGTTAAAACTCTTTTGGAAAAACACTTGTCAATTCCCATTTGCATGGTAACACTAGAAAAGTTCCAACAGTGACCGGGAAACCCCTAGACAAGTTCGAACACTGACACTGGTAACACTAGAGAAGTTCCAACAGTGACACTGGTAACACTAGAGAAGTTCCAACAGTGACACTGGTAACACTAGACAAGTTCGAACACTGACACTGGTAACACTAGACAAGTTCCAACACTGACAATGGTAACGCTAGGCAAAATCCAACAGAGACACTGGTAAAACTAGACAAGAACACCAAAGTGTTGAAACTAACGAGTACCAAACAGATGAAGTAGTTCCAACAGAGACGCTGGTAACACTAGAGAACACCAAAGTGTTGCAACTAACGAGTACCAAACATGTGAAGTTGTTCCAACCGAGACGCTGGTAACACTAGAGAACACCAAAGTGTTGCAACTAACGAGTACCAAACTGATGAAGTTGTTCCAACAGAGACGCTTGTAACACTAGACAAGAACACCAGAGTGTTGCAACTAACGAGTACCAATCAGATAAAGTTGTTTCAACAGAGACGCTGGTAACACTAGAGAACACCAGTGTTGCAACTAACGAGTACCAAACAGATGAAGTTGTTCCAACAGAGACGCTGGTAACACTAGAGAACACCAGTGTTGCAACTAACGAGTACCAAACAGATGAAGTTGTTCCAACAGAGACGCTGGTAACACTAGAGAACACCAGTGTTGCAACTAACGAGTACCAAACAGATGAAGTTGTTCCAGCAACATTAGACAAGAACACCAAAGTGTTGCTGAAGGATAAAACACTTGACTTTCCTCCGGGTGATAAATGTCGACAAAAATATGAAATATCCTTAGAGGAAGAAAATGGCTTTTGTGGGAACTTGATCAGTGCCTGAAGGAATTTGTGGGAGAAAATGGGTATGCTACGTGGGAATTTAATTATAGAAAGTGTCATCAGTGCTTAGTGGTGAAGTTAGTGCTGTTGGTGGCGCCGTACAGGAAGGATCTCCAGTCACCGCTTCTACAGTCATTCTACAGTACCTCAGTCACTGCCTCTCAGCAGTCATTCTACAGTACCTCAGTCACTGCCTCTCAGCAGTCATACTACAGTACTTCAGTCACTGCCTCAGTCACTGCCTCTACAGTCATACTACAGTAAGTGCTGGAGAATGACAGTAATGGCATGTTTATTATTTTGCAAGTTTGACGGGGATACGTACAGTGCTGTGATGTTTAACAAACTAAATATTATTCTCTCTAGGCACATTTAAATATATTCACAAAACATTTTAGTGTTATTATATAAAATCAAGGACTAGATTTTTAAATTTAAGAAACATCTATATAGGGAATAGGAAACCATACCACGGGTGGAGTTAGAACCCAAAATCAGAGAACCACAAAACTCCAGACCGAGGCGTTAGCCACTGGGCCCCTGGGTAACTAGCTGACCCTGTGGCTAACGCGTCGGTCTGGAGTTTTGTGACTCTCTGATCGCGGGTTCTAACCCCTCCCGTGGTTTGGTTTGTTTGCAATCGTGTCATTACGATTTCATGAGTCATGTTAATGAATAGGAAGTTGATGCAACCTGGAACAAGATGTTGCAATTAGTCACTTTATTTCCTTTCTGTAAGTTGCAATGATGTGAGAACCTCTATCACGAGAGAATTATTCGAGGATTGGCCGATGTCTTTGATAATTGCACAAGAGTGAAAATTATTAAAGATTTCGGTGTAGGGTTTGTTTATCAAGCCACAGTTGGTTAGTGCTTAAAAACCACTTGTTGGTGGCTGCATTAATGTACTGCTCGTTAAGACTGGTATTTCAAATGGGAGTAGAAAGAAATTAGTTCCGAACGTACCACAGTCACGTATGTAGCTATGGTACGGCTGGTAAGGTTTAACACAACCACGTACGTGACTGTGGTAAGCCGTACCATAAATTCAGGGATTATGTGGATTGAAATAAGGGTCGGATGCAAAAAGTGGGTTATAATAACGTTTATGCGCATGGAGAAGAGAGGAGTGTAGAGGAGAGAGAGAGAGAGAGAGAGAGAGAGAGAGAGAGAGAGAGAGAGAGAGAGAGAGAGAGAGAGAGAGAGAGAGAGAGAGAGAGAAATTTTAGGAGATATTTAGCGAGTGTTTGGGAAGTTTTGAACCAAACGAGAGAGTTGTAGCGGTTGGGTAACATGAATGAAGTGGGTGACACTGTAATAAAAGGTGTGGGAGGTAAGTTTGGGGTGCCAGGTGTAAACAATAATGGGGCGTTTGACTGAATTTTCTAGAGAAAGGTGTTTGGTAATAGGTAATACACATTTTAAGAAAAAAAAAAGGAAAATAAGTATACAAGAGATGATATAGGGTGTAATGACAGTAGTTTGTTGGACTATGTGATGGTAGATAAAAAACTGATAGATCGACTTCAGGATATCAATGTTTATAGAGAGGCCACAGATATATTAGATCATTTTCAGTTGTAGCTACAGTGAGAGTTAAAGGTAGATGGGATACAAGGAGAATGGCATCAGCAAGTAAGAGAAAGTTAAAGGTTTATAAACTAAAGGAGGAGGCAGTTACGGGTAAGATATAAACAACTATTGTAAGAAAGATGGGATAGTGAGAGTATGGGTAGTAAGGTTGAAGAGGTTTTGAGATAGTTTTAAAAATGTAGTGTTAGAGTGTTCAACAGAAGTATGTTGTTACAGGAAAGTGGATGCTGGAGGGAAGAAGAGTGATTGGTGGAATGTTGATGTAGAGTAATAAGAGAGACAAAGTTAGCATGTGAGACGTTTTTACAAAGCAGAAGTGATGTAAACAGGGAGGAGTATATGGAGAGAAAAGAGAGGTTAAGAGAGTGGTGAAGGAATGTAAAAGGAGAGCAAATGAGAGAGTGGGTGAGATGTTATCAACAAATTTTGTTGAAAATAAGAAAAAAAATTGGAAGGAGATTAATAAGATAAGAGAAACTAAGTAACGAATGGATTTGGCAGTTAAATATTGGAGAGGAGAGTTATTAAATAGAGAGTTGTATCAGAAAGATGGAGCGAATATTTTGAGAAACTATTAAATCCTGGTGAGGATATGGAAGCAGTAATATCGTGTATTGGGCAGGGAGGTATAACATCATGTAGGAGTGAGGGAGAGCCAGCTGATAGGTTAGGGGAAGTTCGTGAAGCAGTGCGTAGAATGAAACGGGGTAAAGCAAATAGGATTGATAGGATAATGACAGAAATGTTAAAAGCAAGTGTGGATATAGTTTTGGAATGATTGATTCTTTTATTTAATAAATGTATGGAAGAAGGTAAGGTACCTAGGGAATGACAGAGAGAATGCATAGTTCCTTTATATAAATTCAAAGGGGACAAAAGAGGGTGTAAATAATAAAGGGAAACAAGCTTCTTGTGTATACCTGGTAAAGTGTATGTTAGAGTTATTACTGAAAGAATTAAGAGTAAGACAGAGAGCAGGATAGCAGATGAACAAGGAGGCTTCAGGAAAGGTAGAGGGTGTGTAGACCAAGTGTTTACAGTGAAACATACAGGTGAACAGTATTTATATAAGGGTAACGAGGATTTCGTTGTATATAGATTTGGAAAAGGCATATGATAGGGTGGATAGGACTGCAATGTGACAGATGACACAAATATATGGAATAGGAGGTAGGTTACTGAAAGTGGTTAAGAGTTTTTATGAGGATAGTGAGGCTCAGGTCAGAGTATGTAGGCGAGAGGGAGATTATTCCCCAGTAAAAGTAGGCCTTAATTACCTAGTTCAGCTATCAAAACTTTGGGGGCCCAGTCCCTGGACTCATTATGTACCTCTGTAATATGTAAATACCTTTGTAACTTGTCATGATTGTGACCAGATCTACCTGGAGTTCATTACCTTTGTAACTTGTTCAGCTATCAAAACTTTCGGGTCCAGTCCCTGGACCCATTATGTACCTCTGCAATTTTTTGACTACCGCCCACAGGATGGGTATGGGGTGCATAATAAACATATTAAACTAAATTTAGACAGGGATGTGTGATGTCACCATGGTTGTTCAATATATTTATAGATGGGGTTGTGGGAGAAGTGAATGCTAGGGTCTTGGCAAGAGGTGTGGAGTTAAAAGATAAAGAATCAAACACAAAGTGGGAGTTGTCACAGTTGCTCTTTGAAGAATTGAGACACTTATGCAGCACATGAGAATCTTTATTGAAGAAACGTTTCGCCACACAGTGGCTTCATCAGTCCAATACAAAGTAGAGATGGGTAAGGAGAGGAGGAGTTTGAGGTAATCAGTCCCTCAACCTGGAATCGATGTGTCCAGTCCATCACTCTTGTAGGAAGTGCAGCACAGGGCCAGAGAGGTGGCTTATATACTGCGGTGAGATGAGTTGAAGCAGGAGGAGGCGGGATCACAGTGGGACCTGCCACTAGTGTAAGTAGCAGGAGGAGGCGGGATCACAGTGGGACCTGCCACTAGTGTAAGTAGCAGGAGGAGGCGGGATCACAGTGGGACCTGCCACTAGTGTAAGTAGCAGGAGGAGGCGGGATCACAGTGGGACCTGCCACTAGTGTAAGTAGCAGGAGGAGGCGGGATCACAGTGGGACCTGCCACTAGTGTAAGTAGCAGGAGGAGGCGGGATCACAGTGGGACCTGCCACTAGTGTAAGTAGCAGGAGGAGGCGGGATCACAGTGGGACCTGCCACTAGTGTAAGTAGCAGGAGGAGGCGGGATCACAGTGGGACCTGCCACTAGTGTAAGTAGCAGGAGGAGGCGGGATCACAGTGGGACCTGCCACTAGTGTAAGTAGCAGGAGGAGGCGGGATCACAGTGGGACCTGCCACTAGTGTAAGTAGGTCGTCTGACTGCAGTATATAAGCCACCTCTCTGGCCCTGTGCTGCACTTCCTACAAGAGTGATGGACTGAACACATCGATTCCAGGTTGAGGGACTGATTACCTCAAACTCCTCCTCTCCTTACCCATCTCTACTTTGTATTGGACTGATGAAACCACTGTGTGGCGAAACGTTTCTTCAATAAAGATTCTCATGTGTTGCATAAGTGTCTCAATTCTTCAACTTGTCGGTTTTCTAAACCATTCATCACACAGTTGCTCTTTGCTGATGACACTGTGCTTTTGGGAGATTCTGAAGAGAAGTTAAAGAGGTTGGTGGATGAGTTTGGTAGGGAATGCAAAAGAAGGAAATTAAAAGTGAATATATGAAAGAGCAAGGTGATCAGGATAACAAAACAAAAACAAAATAGGTAATGAAAGACAGGATATCAGATTGGAGAGAGGGAGTCTGGAGGAAGAGAATGTATTCAGATATTTGGGAGTGGACTTGTCAGCAGATTGGTCTTTGAAAAACGAGGTGAATCATAGAGTTGATGAGGGAGGGGAAAGGGTGAGTGGTGCACTGAAGAGTGTGTAGACAACGTTATCCATGGAAACAAAGAGGGGAATGGTATAAACCTTGGTAATAAATACCGACAATTTGGTTTAGAAAGACACGTAAGCAAACACTATAACATATTTATTAGAAAACGTTTCGGTCCTGGAACCTTGATCACTTCTAACATACAGAGGTAGAAAGACATTATATATATAGGCAGAGAGTGAGGTGTGACGCACGTGACCTGAGGAATGTCATAAGAACATAAGAATGGAGGAACACTGTAGAAGGCCTACTGGCCCATGCGAGGCAAGTCCTTATCATAGGCAGAGGTTGTTTTGATAAGGACCTGCCTCGCATGGGCCAGTAGGCCTTCTACAGTGTTCCTCCATTCTTATGTTCTTATGACATTCCTCAGGTCACGTGCGTCACACCTCACTCTCTGCCTATATATATAATGTCTTTCTACCTCTGTATGTTAGAAGTGATCAAGGTTCCAGGACCGAAACGTTTTCTAATAAATATGTTATAGTGTTTGCTTACGTGTCTTTCTAAACCAAAGAGGGGAATATATGAGAGTACAGTGTTACCAACGCTCCTTTATGGGTGTGAAGCATGGGTTGTGATTGTGATGAATGGTTTGAAAAACCGACAAGTTGAAGATTGAGACACTTATGCAGCATATGGGAATCTTTATTCAGGAAACGTTTCGCCACACAGTGGCTTCATCAGTCCAATACAAAGAGGAAGGCGTAAGGAGAGGAGGAGTATGAGGTAATCAGTCCCTCAGCCTGGAGTCGATGTGTTCAGTCCATCAATCTTGTAGATTGTTGCAACAAGGAGATTGCTGGAAGTAGCGGAGATGTCGTGTCTAAAGTCTTTGTGTGGTGTTAATACAATGCAGAGAATCTATAGTTTGGAGATTAGGAGGCGTTGGATTTCTAAAAATATTATCGAGAGGGCAGATGAAGGATGGTCTGGACATTTTAAGATGATGGAGCAAAATAGAGTGACTTTGAGGGCGTATAAATCTGTGGTGGAATGAATATGGGGCAGAGTTTGTCCTTGAAAAGGCTGGAGGGAGGGACTAAGGAGGTTTTGTGTGCGAGTGGCTTGAACTTCCAGCAGGAGTGCGTGAGCGTGTTAGATAGGAACAGTACAGATGAATGGTTTCATAACTTGACGTGCTGTTGGAGTGTGAACAAGATAACATTTATGAAGGGATTCAGGTTAACTGGTTAGCCGGACTTGAGTCCTGGAGGTGGTAAGTACAGTGCCTGCACTCTGAAAGACGGATGCTCTTATCTTGAATTTTTTTTTTACCTGTAGTATCTGGAGTTTCTGGAGAGAGTTCCGGGAGTCAACGCCCCCGCGGCCCGGTCTGTGACCAGGCCTCCTTAGGTCAGTGTCCCAGGATGCGACCCACACCAGTCGACTAACACCCAGGTACCCATTTTACTGATGGGGAACATAGACAACAGGTGGAAAGAAACACGTCCAATGTTTCTACTCTGGCTGGGAATCGAACCCAGGCCCTCAACGTGTGAAGCCAGAGCGTTAACCACCAGGCCACCAGAGCCTGTATAGGCACGCCTCTGGTAAGACAGTGATGGAATGAATGATGACGAAAGTGTTTCTTCTTTTTCGGGTTACCCTACCTTGGTGGGAGACGGCTGATGTGTAATATATATAATATATTAATGCAATCAAGGAACGAGTTAGAATCATTAACAAAACGATAACTAGCCGATGAAGAAACCCAAATGTTGGACAAGTTTAAGTCATGTTCCCATGAACATTCAGGTGTTCATTTACTGAACACAGACAAAAATGTACGTCCATGTTCAACAAAGGCATTCCCAGTATTACGATTGACCTTAGAATTAGTAATATATTAGGCCTGAATATAGGAGATGTTTAATATCTAATATACTCATGGAAAATCGTAATAAGGATTTGTATGATGTGGTGATGAAAAGTCTGGTTTAAAAGTTGTTTTTAATGTAAAGTAATTTAGGTGATATTCTATATAGTATTTTAGAATGGCACCTTCACTTATAAAGAAATAACACTTAACAGACTTATAACTTATATATCGTTTACAATTACATTTTCCGACTGAATGGGAATTTACATATGAATTTAATAAAGTTACATGGTCACTCAAACCAGCGACGATCCAAGCTTAATTGAAGTTTGTCTAAACACTGAAGAGATGTTACTTGGTAAGAGTTTTACAAATCTACTTACATGTGACTAAGAGAATAATATTATACTGCTGAATAACTTCTCAAAGTCAACGAGTAAGTAGAGAGGACCTTCTCAAGACTGAGAGAAGTGTTGTCCTGCTTATTCAACCCCACTCACACCTGACGTCAACCCCACTCACACCTGACGTCAACCCCACTCACACCTGACGTCAACCCCACTCACACCTGACGTCAACCCCACTCACACCTGACGTCAACCCCACTCACACCTGACGTCAACCCCACTCACACCTGACGTCAACCCCACTTACACCTGACGTCAACCCCACTCACACCTGACGTCAACCCCACTTACACCTGACGTCAACCCCACTCACACCTGACGTCAACCCCACTCACACCTGACGTCAACCCCACTCACACCTGACGTCAACCCCACTCACACCTGACGTCAACCCCACTCACACCTGACGTCAACCCCACTCACACCTGACGTCAACCCCACTCACACCTGACGTCAACCCCACTCACACCTGACGTCAACCCCACTCACACCTGACGTCAACCCCACTCACACCTGACGTCAACCCCACTCACACCTGACGTCAACCCCACTCACACCTGACGTCAACCCCACTCACACCTGACGTCAACCCCACTCACACCTGACGTCAACCCCACTCACACCTGACGTCAACCCCACTCACACCTGACGTCAACCCCACTCACACCTGACGTCAACCCCACTCACACCTGACGTCAGCTCGTCAGGTGTTACCAGAATAAATATATACACAATGAAAATGGGAAAGAAGAAAATGAATATCTAATATAAAGCTGATTACTCTCGTTTTAGCATTTAACGATGGTAATCGTAATATAATATTAGAAAGATAAACAAATATGAAAGACATATACATCATAATTGCACATCTGCGTAACATCAGTACAATTATTTAATTTAATACAGTGAGATTTGTGTTATCCACCTTTGCAGGTGAGAATGTACGTGGAGGTGGCGAGTATGTTTATGTTGGTGACTGCCGCCATGTGTGCTGCTGACGGAGCACCAAGGGACAAGAGATATATTTTCTTCAATACACACGCACCCATCACCTTGGGTAAGTACTTGTGATCCTCAGCCACCCATCACCTTGGGTAAGTACTTGTGATCCTCAGCCACCCATCACCTTGGGTAAGTACTTGTGATCCTCAGCCACCCATCACCTTGGGTAAGTACTTGTGATCCTCAGCCACCCATCACCTTGGGTAAGTACTTGTGATCCTCAGCCACCCATCACCTTGGGTAAGTACTTGTGATCCTCAGCCACCCATCACCTTGGGTAAGTACTTGTGATCCTCAGCCACCCATCACCTTGGGTAAGTAATTGTGATCCTCAGCCACCCATCACCTTGGGTAAGTACTTGTGATCCTCAGCCACCCATCACCTTGGGTAAGTACTTGTGATCCTCAGCCACCCATCACCTTGCGTCAACCAGATCACCATAAAACCCAGGCACATTGCATCGCTCTTGGGCCGTGTAGAATCCCTTGCCTGACGCTCCTCAGTAACCTGACAGCAGTGGTACGAGGAGGTGTTGTTGTGTCTCTGTTGACACCGCTGGAAAATTACTGGCGTTAAGATGGCGGTTTGTCATCGCAGACGCATTAATACTATTGGTATTGAACTGCTTCGAGGTGCGATTACACCTAGTTCAGCTCAGATACTCTTACCCAAGATAATCAGGGAGACATATGACATTCAAGAAGGTGAATTGTATGGGGTAGCGTTGAATGGAGCGCATAGAATATTTGTGAAACTGCTTGCTGCGACAGTTTATGAATCGGTGGTTACGCGCTTTCAAGATGTGTGTTTTGACGTTACGCCTGCTGTGCGTGTGAGACTGGTGGACGTGTCTCGATATTATACCTGGATAAAGTTGTGGAATGTCCCCTTTGAGGCGAACGAAGCTGACATCAGAAACGTATTTGAGAAATATGGGACCGTGCATTCTGCCCAGCAGGGTAAGTGGTTGATGGGTGCCTACGAAGATGTGCCAGAAGGTACTTTCAGCCTTAAAATGACGTTGCGGCAACCCATACCATCATACGTGTATCTTCAAGATTTTAGGACACAGGTAATGGTTTTATAACCTGGACAACGGCGTACGTGTCGCACTTGTGGAGAGTATGACCACATAGCGGCGGCATGCGAGAAGAACAGACGCGTGACCAAACCTGTGCAAGAAGAGGTAGCCCCGGTCACACGTGGTGAAGGTGAGCATCGATCATCAGAGGAAGGGCGTGGTCGTTTGTGGAGTGAGATGGTGGAACAGGCTTTTCCAAATGAGAGTGAGTCCTCCCCTCAGCTCCCTGCACCTGAGTCGTTGCCAATACCATCTGCTGGATTGGTACCCTGAAATGACGTGTTAAATATAGGGAAGGAATTGGACGAAGTTTTAAAGACCTTGTCACCACCTGTGGTGGAAGCTCCGTCTACGAATGACGTAGCTGGAGACTTTTTAAGTCCAGATTATAAACAATATGAGACTCAGCGGAATGACGACGAGACTGAGACATCGGGGGACTTCATACCTCACTGTACAGTGGATGTTGAGGTACACCGTGAGGCTTCCTCAGACCTTGACATGGAGGATAAGAACGTTACGAGGAAACGAGCAGCTACGTCAGATTCAGATGACTACTGACGCCAGCACAGAGAACTGGGAAGAAAACTGAGAGGATGGGAGAGGGAAGGGATGGAGAGGGGGGGGCGTCATGTGGGACGCCATCGCAAGAAGGGAGGCGAATGGGAAGGTACTGTAAAGAAAATCCATAGAAATAACAATTCAAGTGGTGAAAAACGAGAGGAGAAGAGGCAAGGGTGGAAAATATAACAGGCCTTAGGTGTATGACTGCTAATGTTAACGGTTTATGTACTAGACTAAAGAGAGATTGGTTAAACAATTTTCTTAGCAAACATAGAGTTGATGTTCTGTTCCTTCAAGAACACAATTTCAAAGAAGGAGAAGTGTTGCAGGTTGCAGGTTATACAGTACTGACCCTGCCAACTATCCGTTTGAAAGGTGGTGTGGGTCTTTTAATAAAAGAGACGAGGCCGTTTGTGTTGCAGAGATGTGAGGGGGGTGGGGGGAGGGTGTTGCAGAGATGTGAGGGGGGTGGGGGAGGGTGTTGCAGAGATGTGAGGGGGGTGGGGGAAGGTGTTGCAGAGATGTGAGGGGGGGGGGGGGAGGTGTTGCAGAGATGTGAGGGGGTGGGGGGAGGGTGTTGCAGAGATGTGAGGGGGGTGGGGGGAGGGTGTTGCAGAGATGTGAGGGGGGGGGGGGGAGGGTGTTGCATAGATGTGAGGGGGTGGGGGGAGGGTGTTGCAGAGATGTGAGGGGGTGGGGGGAGGGTGTTGCAGAGATGTGAGGGGGGTGGGGGGAGGGTGTTGAGAGTGGATAGAACTTGGATGGGAAAGCGTGTGTCTTTAGTAAGTGTCTATGCCCCTGCGGAGAATAGCACGAAGGTACGAAAGGATTTTGTGTGTGAGGACCTTGTTTATTTTTTGCGTGGTCTTCCGGAAGTAGCGATAGTGGGGGGTGACTGGAACTGTGTCATCAGGGCGGCTGACGTCGAGCCCAAAGGGGCTGGGCATGTGTCTGCACCTCTCAGAGATTTGTTGAGGGATGTTAAGTTAAGAGATGTGTTTGGGGGAGGGGTGTGGGAAACAGAACATACTTTTATCAGAAGGGGATATGCTGCAAGGTTAGACAGAGTGTATATTTCTCAGGGAGTAGTTGTAAAGTCTTTTAATACGGTGGAGACGGTCTTGTCAGATCATAGGGCAGTAGTAGTGGAGGTAGGGTGGGAGGGAATGGCCGAAATTTATCGGCCTTATTGAAAATTAAATATTAAGTGTGTTAAGCGATGAGGAAGGTTTAGAGGGTTTTTCTGTGCTGTGGAAAGAGCTTTCAAGAGAAGCTCAGGAGGTAGAAGACATTGTAACGTGGTGGGACTCGGTAGCAAAAGAAAGGATAAAATCCTTTTACGTGAGGGAGGGTAAAGGTATAAACACTCTAGAGGATCGATTAGAGGATCGATTAAGAGGTTGTTATGGGTAGGGAAAGGTTGGTGGTATTTACCCCATGGACGAGATTGTAGACATAAAAGAGAGCTTGCGAACGTTGCATAATGAGCGGTTTCAAGCGGTGCGGGTGCAAGCAGGATTAGAAGAAGTTTTGTGGGGAGACAAGCCATCTGCGTGTGTGTTGCGGCAGCAAAAGCAAAAGCAGGCGCTGATGGCAATCCCGAGCTTGGAGGTACATGAGACGATGAGAATCCATAGAGCAGGTCAAGTGATAAGAAACACGAAAGCTATGAGTGCATATGCGGATATGTGGTATAAAAAATACTGGACTAGTAGTGATGTGGATGAAGTGGAATTAAATAGGGTGTGCACATATGCCAAGTGCAATTTGGGTCATAGTGATAGGAAGGCTTTGGGTGGGGATATTACTGAGGAGGAAATTGAAATTGCTTTACACGGAATGAGAAAGGGCAAAGCCCTGGGTATTGATGGTTTACTGGTGGAATTTTATTTACAGCATTGGGCGTTGATTGGGAGGTTCATGGTAAGATTATTAAATTGTATGAAGGAGAAGGGTACGTTAGGGAATAAGCAGAATACAGCAATTGTGGTGCTGGTCCCGAAAGGCAAAGGGCAGCCAGACCTTGGGAAGTATAGGGCAATATCGTTGCTCTGTGCAGACTATAAGGTTTTCGCTAAAATTTTGGGTAATAGGGTGAAATGCGTGGTGGGGAGGGTTGTTTCACCATCGCAGTTTAGGTTGCCGGGCAGGTCGATGTTAGAAGGTCACGGGATTTTAAGAAGTTTTGTGGAGTCAAAGTGGGGGGGCGGAAGGGGGCGGCTTTACTGGCCTTAGACTGGCGAGCCGCCTATGATAGAGTGAAAAGAGGTGCACTGCAGAGTATACTTAGGAGACAGGGTTATGGTGAAGAAATAGTTGGGTGGGTAAACACGCTGTATAAGGGAGCAAAGATGAGAGTACAAATAAATGGGTGTATGGGGACGGTCTATGAGATGGGTAGAGGTTTACGACAAGGGTGCCCTATGTCACAGAGCTCATTTGCGTGTTTTCAGGATCCCTTTTACAGGATGGTTGAGAGCACAGTCAATTCCCGGGGTGAGGGGGGGTAGGGGAAGGGAGATGTTGGCCGGCATTAAATAGGGGTTATGTGGAGATGAAACGACTGTTTATAGTGTGTGAACGGATGTTATGAAAGTGTTGGAAGATGTGTGTGTGCGTGTTTGAACGTGCCACGGTATGGAAGGTAAATAGTGAAAGTCGATGATCATGGGGTTGGGTACCTGGAAAGGGGGAGGAATGGTGAGCTGTAAGTGGTTACACGACTGCGTGTCTTTAAAAAATTTGTGGTATTATTTATAGAGACGATTTGGATGTGGCGCGGGAGGAAAATTCAGTAAGGACGTTGGAAAAGGTCATTGGTCGTCTGGGTGTTTTGAGGCCCAACATCTCACTCTGGCCCAACGTGTGATCGTTGTTAACGTTTTATTGTATAGTAAGGTGTGGCACGTTGCGGCTGTTTTCCCCAATTACAGGGCCCAGCGATCAAAGGAATATTGAGAAGAGTATTTACCTTTCTGTGGGGATCGAGGTGTGATTGGTTAAAACGTGAGGTTGTTATGTTACCCGTCCGTCGAGGAAAGGGTTTTGGGGTTGTTGGACTTAAAGGTAGGGTAAAATGTGTTTTTCTAAAGTGGGAGGTTTGGCGTGTGGGTGTGATGGCGGGAAATTGGAAACAGGTATATATGAGGTTGAAAAATGGTATGGGGGAATGGAATTGAGGGAAAGTGAGATTGTACTACGGGCTTTGTTGATGGTAAGGGAAGGGGATAACATTCGCATAAGGGTTTTAAGTAGGTTACTGGGGGGTACGTGCGCAGCTCCAGTAGAAGGTTTGTTCCCCATGTACTCGTGGGAAAATATTTGGCTCAGATTTAGTAAGCTGAAATTATGGCCTAGGGTGCGTGAAGTCATGTTCCGTTTTTTACATGGTATATTGCCGTCAGGGGCA